ATTATTTAAAATTTTATAATAATTTTCATTGATATATATCTTTTTTTAATAGTGATACTTGCAGAACTTATCCAGATTTTAGTCTTTTAAAATTATTATTATCAAAAATTAAGGAGATATTGTAAATGTACCAGCATGCAAAGGTGTTACAGAATTTTCTAATCCATCAAATGAACTATTGAGGGAATGGTCAATTTATTGTGGATTAACAAATGAATTAATTGAAGAATATATAGACCTTAATGTTTTTTGGATGGGAATGCAATTTAACTTACCAATTTTATCAAAAATTGCATTGGATTATATTTGGCTTCCGATCTCTAGTTGTAGTGTTGAGCGTAGTTTTTCTTTGTACAATAACCTTTTAAAGAGTGGTCGTCAAAATCTTTCGTGCGAATCATTAAAAAGACTAAATATGTTGTATTTTAATAAAAATAATTGATTTTAAAGCGAACTATATTATTTATTTACATTAAAATAAATCACATAAAATCACCGAATTGGTTTAAATCATCACAGAATTAAAACAGAATGCATCAAAATCGGTGTCACATGATATACCTCACGCAGAATTTGGTTTTTATCACCGCAGAAAATCATCGTCCCTGCTGACAGATAATCTGACCTAACCTGTTGTGTACCTTGATCTTCATAAATCCGATTGCTGGATCTTATCGTTTTTACAATTTCCTTTGACATTTACATTAAAATCTCAAAATTCAGTGTTATGTCCTCACTTGAAGAACAACTAGTTAAAAAGATTCGTTTAAATTCAGGAGGGTCGGTCCCATCAAATTATGTAATAAATAATAAAGCCAGTTCAGAAGGAAAGATGACTCGTGAAGGGATGTTGGAATACTGAGTTTGATCCAACAATTCCTGGATTCTGGTGATATCAAAGAAAGGTAACTAATACTAATATTTATAATTTATCGAATTATCTTGTTAATCATTATTAATTGTCTAGATTCTCCGATTTTTTGGTTAATGAAATTGATATTTCCCGGAATATCGTTCACCTTACAGATTTCAATCTTCCAGAATTAAAATCTACAAATATTAATAAAATTAATTTTTAATAATAAATTCTCATTAAAAAAAGAATCATATTTAAATAATGATTATTTTTTTTAACAGGTTCTTCCTTTAGTGTCTCAATGGCTCGAAAATTGATAGGAATTATCAGATGAATAAATATTTTCAGGAAATGAGAACTTTGCTTGATGAAGAAACCTCATTACAAG